TTATTATTATTATTATTATTATTATTATTATTATTATTATTATTATTATTATTATTATTATTATTATGATGATGATGATGATGATGATGATGATGTGCTGTGTTTTTATTGTTCTGATTTACCTACAAATTCAACTTATAGACAGATTTAGGGAACGGACCTTGATTGTATCTGGAAGACTGCCTGTATTCTACTATAACTGTAATTGTGATTCAGGTTTACTTAAGGCAATGCAAAAGGAGGTAAAGGAGGCAGAGGAAAGGATGCATAATAAAGAAGGCAGAGTAAAGCAGGCATAGTAAAGAAGGCAGAGTAAAGCAGGCATAGTAAAGAAGGCAGAGTAAAGCAGGCATAGTAAAGAAGGCAGAGTAAAGCAGGCAGAGTAACGCAGGCAGAGAAACGCAGGCAGACTTTTTCCAGAAAAACTGTCCCCCTCAAAGGTTGTTACTTGACAAGTTGACAAAAGGTTTTTTGTTTTGCATAGAATGTAATATTTTTTAGTGGATGACAGTGATTAAATTGTGCTTCTACGTAAATTGCTTGTACACCAGAATGACAAAAAAGCAGCACAGGTTTCCTTTGGATGCCAGTCTCCATACACAGCAGGCAGGACAGTGATTAAAGATTCGCACTCTGCCCTTCACCAAGGTACTGAACCTTAATTGCTTTCAGTAAATATGTTCAGCTGTTTAAATGGGTAAATTGGGTTAGAAGGTTTGGATAAAAGCATATGCCATACAAACAGCAACAGAAGGTAGTATAATGCTTAAGGACATGGAGTTATAATATAAAGTTGCTGGTTTAGCTCTCAGGAGGGACCTTGCTCCAATACCCTTTAGTAAAATGGGTAAAATTACAAGTCAGTGTTGATAAAAGATTCTGCCAAGCAGATAAACTAGTAGTAGTTGTGAAATAACCTTAGCTGGCCTGCTTTTTTCCATTTTTCTCAAAAACCTGTCTCTGAGTGTAGCTTGGACTAGGAGCCCGTGTAATTCATTGAGGCAAACCAATATTATGCAACACCATGGGACACATTAATCTTAATGTTTCATTTTTCGCTTTATCTATTCCTTTCATTTTTCATTATGTGAGAAAATCTGAGATTTTAGGGGTCTTTTTCAATTTACGCTAAATGCATAAGTAATCATGACCTTATCAATATATGTCCCCAAAGCATGTGGCAGGATTATGAATATTAATGCATGGAAAATATGTAATTCTGCTGATCAAAGATGACAGCAACTGTGGAAGGTATCATTGTGCAATCATTTATGATTACCACAAGCAAATGCATTAACTGCTGTCTTATGCTACAATATATTTGATGATAATATAATTTAATAATGCATCCAGCCTTCACTGACTTGTGCAGTAATGGGTTAAGGGTCGAGCGTTTAGCCTGTTCCAGGTGTCAAAGGGGACATCCATCTGAAACAGGGCATATAACCACGCTGTGGGCAGTTTGGGTACCTTAGTCACCCCAATGACACACAACACAGGAAGATAATGGAAACACAATTTAGATACACAGAACACTGTTTGGATTTGGACCCACTACCCAGGCAGTACAGAGCAACCCCACTGAGTCACCGTATTGCCCTTTTGTAATGCTCTTATATTCATTAATTTCCACTTTATTATCAAGTGCCTTTTGTAAGTAACTGAATATAGAATTTTTTTCAGTTGTGATCTGCAGCTTGTTAAATTGCTGCACTTGATTTATATGTAAATTGGAAGAAACTGGAAGTAGGATGTGAGAGATATTACCCAAAGCTTTATGGCTTTCACCATATGTTAAGCTAAAAAAGTGACTGATTACTTAGACTTTGTTGTTAGGAAAATCATGCAGCTATTTTTTGGAGAAATCAATGTAAAGATCAGTTGCTTCTGAAAGGGCTGAACCTGTGTATATTAAATATATAATTATGACTGTTATTCCAAGAGTAATGCGTAGTGCATAGAGATGCACTAAGCGACTTTCCGAGGGTAGTGGCTGTGCTGGGAATAGTGATAAAAATGAAAAGAAATAAAAACAGATTGAAAATTTATGACAGTGCAAGCCTCATAAATTGGCCATGCGAACGTGAAAGATATCCTCAGCCTTTACCCCTAATGCATTATTATGGGCTGGTGTTTATTACCTGACTTTATATTTTACACTGTCTTACTGTTAAACTGTACATAAATTTACATTGTGTTATGGAGAGTGAATGTCTGGTGTTGTATTAAAAATTCTGAGAAACTCTCCAGAGTCTCTGCACTCTCTGGCTGTCGGTGATCTAGTCTTGTGCATGTTCCCCAATGTCAGTGGGAACTGACATGAGGACAGATCCATAAAAAAGATCCATAATTTCCTCAGGATCCTCAGTCAGCACCTCTTACTCTTTGTATAAACAGCTGCCTCAAGGATGGGGCTGCAAGCAGCATCAGTGCATTAAGTGCTTGGACTGTGGCAGAAACATTGCAGTTTGTTTGAAGACCAAATTTGAAATTTGGCTACAGCATGTAACATTTTATGGAAGGAGATTCAGGTCCAGTAAAACAACATCACAACATACGCTGTGATCAATTAGTTCAGGTTCTGTGCAGCTCCGTGATCCACCTGCTGAGAAATGCGATAAATAATTTGAAAAGACTGGCTGTCATTCTAACAGGAAAATCACTAACCAATAACCATTGGAAAAGTAATTTGTTCTACAGCATTAAGCTTAAGAACATTGTCAGCTGTACACCAATAACTGCTTCACTGCCATACAGTATGTGCGACACCCAACCATGGCAATTATTGTCTGTTCATAGTTGAGAAACAACGTAAACAAAGACCAAATTTACACAAAAGCCGGCAAAGAGAAACACCTGACGCTACACCTCGGGGCTTCTTTAATATCAGGACCTCTGCTAAGCTGTAATGTGAGGGGAATTAACACAGTCACCTTCTGGGGGAACATAGCCCTCTGGCTGCAGACAACCAGCTGTAAACAAGATGAGTTACAGGTAAACAGCGGTACTCTGGTCAGCAATATGGATTCTTCTACCCCAAAAATGTCAAAAACAGCAGACTGAGCAAAAAAGCAATGTGGTGACAGCAAAAAAGAGAAGCCATATGACTTCACATGAGGCAACCCGCTTACAGTTTGTAACTATATCTTTGTGGGGACTGTCCACTTATTCCTATGGGTAAAACATGACGACCTTAACCCCTACCCAGCCCTAACCTTAACCATAAGTAACCAAACAAAATACAAGTCTTTTAGCATTTTTAGTTTTTTGATTGCAGTTACAAATTTATATAAAACGGAGTTTCCCCTTGTGGGGACCAAAAAGGTGCTCCCCACTAGGTCAAAAAAACTGGGTTTTTTTAATTACATTGTGGGGACATTTGGTCACATGACAACTGCACACTTAAAAGAAAGGACATAGTGCTAGACAGTGCAGGAATTTTTACGTTTAACTTGTCATTATTAGACTCCACCCAAAAGAGTTGCCTCAAGATAACAGTATCAGCAAGAGCTTCTCTTATTTTTATTATAGACACTTGTAACACTTATACATCCTAAGCAGGGCTCACTGTGTCTCTGTATACAGACCTGAGGAAGAATTTTGAGGAAGAACCACTGGGTAAGGAGGTAGCGCTGGACCAGGAGGTGCTGTTACGCTGCCAGCCTCCAGAGGGCGTCCCCACGGCTGAGGTGAAGAAAGGCCGACGGAGCCATTCTGAATTACTCCACACCCAATCTTATATCAGTTGTTGAATTACTCATTGGTTTTGCTTGTGGCAACATCTCGTGAGAGTTTTTTTTACGTCTTAACACACTGAGCAGAATCAGATCTGGAGTTCAAATCTGTCTGTATACAGATGTGACGGACACAAGTCACTTATTTTTGTTGTTTGCACAGATTATGGCTAATTGGCTTCCTTTTAGCTCTAAAGATTAAAGATGAGCATTATTAACAGACACACTATCTGTGTTTTATTTATCTGCATTTTAAATATTTTATCTTGCAAATGATATTGCATATTACACTGTCTGATGTCAAACTGAACTCAGGCCATTAATATACAAACAGATTTACTATAATCAAACCTACAGAAGTGCTAAAATAATGCAGTTATGCAGTACAAAATAATGATGTCACATTTCAAAAAAAAAAAATCATGATAAATTCAGCAGTCTTTAGGTGTATTTTTAATTATCTTAATGACATGTCATCTCCCAAAGTATTGCTGTAATATCTGTTGTTTTAACCTGCACTGTAAAAAATGATTTTCTTAATTCTCCTACTTCATCATTATAATTACTATTTTTGACATTATTGTTGCCAAATATACATCTTTCCCAGCAGATTGTCGTAATAATCTTCTGTAATCCATTTCCAGGTGGAGTGGCTAAAGAATGAGGAACTGATTGAACCCACAAATGACCCCAATTACTTCATCACCGTGGACCACAACCTGATCATCAAACAAGCCCGACTGGCAGACACGGGAAACTATACATGCGTGGCCAAAAACATCGTGGCCAGACGCAAGAGCTCATCAGCCACCGTCACTGTTTTTGGTAAGCCCTTCTGAAGCTTGGATTTCCACAAGAGGTCATCATAAAGTGTTTGCTTTAAATACAATGCGATGGCGCATAATCACATGTGAAGCAAGCTTTCAAGACAGAAATATTACATTGACACACTTCACATAAGTAATACCGCTTACTGGCCCAATTCCAAATCCAATCCCAAATGCAATGAGTTTTTAATGACACACATTTGTTATTATGTAATCTTCTCCATGGTGACAAATAAATGTTACTAAATAAAAGCTCGATGGATAAGAAGCTAAGAATCAACAGCTGGTACAGAAAAAAGAATAATTAATTAATTGAATTGATAGAAGACTGACCTTTATCAAAATGCGCAGGAACGGCACGTGCCTTATTAATGACAGTCCCAGGGAACAGAATAAATTGTGTACATATCGGGAGTATGCAAATTAGAGACGGTAATTACAAACAACAGAGCCATGAAAGCACCTTTTCCACAACAGGTGAGAGGCAACAACTGGTGTTTTTGTTCTCTTTTTTGCCAAAGCTTACATTTGATTGAAAACAAGCTAATACCTTTTCAGAAATGTTTGGTTAAAGAATTTTATATAATAGCGGCAGGAGGTTTATATCTTTAGGTACATATTTACCCAAAAGCTGGTGACATGCAAGCCATTGCATGCGGCATGGCCATGAATTCAGTACTATATGTAGCAGTGACTAGTGACACACATAAGGCTCAGCTTAGTTTGAAAGCTATGTTAGATCACATTGTTTTAAACTGCTGCATCTCACCTCAGGGGTTTAGGGTTTGAGTCTCTGCCCCGGCCCTACGTGTTTGAGTCTCTGCCCCGGCNTTGAGTCTCTGCCCCGGCCCTACGTGTTTGAGTCTCTGCCCCGGCTCTACGTGTTTGAGTCTCTGCCCCGGCTCTACGTGTTTGAGTCTCTGCCCGGCGCTACGTGTTTGAGTCTTTGCTCCAGCTCTACGTGTTTGAGTCTCTGCCCCGGCTCTACGTGCTTGAGTCTTTGCCCCGGCCCTACGTGTTTGAGTCTCTGCCCCGGCTCTATGTGTTTGAGTCTCTGCCCCGGCACTATGTGTTTGAGTCTCTGCCCCAGCCTTATGTATTTGAGTCTTTGCCCCGGCTCTACGTGTTTGAGTCTTTGCCCCGGCTCTACGTGTTTGAGTCTTTGCCCCGGCTCTACGTGTTTGAGTCTTTGCCCCGGCTCTACGTGTTTGAGTCTTGCATGTTCTTCTCGGGATAACTTGGGATTTGCTCCTGATTTTCCGGTCCCACCCCCTGTTCAAAATCATGCTAAGATAAATTGGAATCGCCAAAGTGTGAGTGTCTGTAGCCTGCTATAGGTCAGAACCCTCTGCTGGGTTATTCCCTGCCTTGTACCGGCCGGTTCTGGACTCCCGCAACTCTGCATCAGGCAAGCGGAGATGGATGGATGGGTGTGTGTGTGAGTTCATTATTTTGTGTTATTTACTTTAAACATACAGTATTCAGTCCATGAAGTTGCCCCCAGAGCTGGATAATATTGCCTGTGAGTTGCCCATTGGCATTCATTAGCTGGCATTCTCTCTGGAGGCTTTTTGTCAGCTGTCTTGATTTAGTAACTCAGATTTAGTTTTAAAAACCATAAAATGTGTGAAATTATGTCTAATTTATGACTATTGTAAAAATGAATTGAAATAAAATTGTAGCCAGATTGCTCTGAATAAAAAGAATTTCTGTTACTCTTCCCTCAAGAATAATTAGCCCTTCTTGTAATGGCACTGCTGTAGAAATTGTGATTTGTTAATGAAACCTTTCCAGAGTCCGGTGCCACCTGACTGTCTACACTGGCCTGGATGAGATTTGTTTTGATTGCTTTGCTTTTTAAGGTAGATCGAAAGGGCCCAGATATGCATTTTAAAGAGACCCAATTGATGTGGCCCTCTGTGGCAGTAAGGAGTAATCAGGGGCAAAGGAGCAGAGCGATTTAACTCGCAAAGGTGGGCAATCAGTTACAAAAGGGATAAGGAAATGATTCAGGGAGACCATCGGGAGATCACGGAGGAAATTAACAAAGCACTTGGCAAAAAAACAGAGTAAACTAGGCTAGTGATCAGGGCTCCATGGCTACTAATCTACTTGCTGATGAGTGGAGTCTTGTTACAGGGTGCTGCTTAACGGGGAGGGTTTAATTGTTCTATGCAATTTTCTAATGATTGCTTCCCAGTAATTAAGCACTATGTGTCTGATTTCAAGTCCTGCGCAAAATAATTTGGGTGGAAAAGGAAAAGAGAGCTTCTGCAGAGTTTACGAATGTCAGCCTCAAACCTGAGAGAAATTCCACATGGATTCTAAACCAGGATTCTGCTGATTGTGGGTCTTGGCCTAAAAACAAGTAGATTAATTGGATCTTTTTTGCGACCAGCATTTTCCTTCTGTCAGTACTAGCAAGCATCATTACAAAGAACACGTGTTTGTATGTGTGTCCAAAGAGTTGACTATAGGCCCATCAGTAATGTTCAGAACACCTATCCTTTTCCCTCCACATCTTAATCACCCCCTTTTCTTCACTGTGTACCTTACTTGCTATGATTTATATCATCACTATGCAGATACAAAATAATAACGTACACAGTAGGGCTGGGTGATATGGCAAACTATTTTATGACAATATTTTTCTCATATCAGTCGAAATCAGTAATTATCACGACATACTTTAAGCCATTATTTCTTTACTTAAACTTTTAAAGGCACATTTGTTTTGCTTAATAAACCCATAGAATCACCTTTAAATAGATTCAGAACATTAAAAAGACGACAAGCTGGGCTGCAAACTGAAATCTAATCTGACATCTAAATGAACAGATCATGCAATAATACAACAATAAAATGTCAAAAGCGTATGTTAGTTGCAATGTTTTTTTTCCTGCCTCGCTGTCCCTTCCAGGGAACGTGTTTGACATTTCTGGTAGAGCTGTCACCCATCCCGTTGTGAAAAGTAAAATGCTGTGTCCCATTTTTAACCAATTTGGGACGTAATTTGTCCTGTGTTTCTTTCAGTTTGGAAGTGGAGACTTTAATTGCTGGTGTTCGTGGCTATAAACACTCACATTCTGTATGTTCTACTCGATGCCAATACTTCAAGTAGTGAAATAAGTTTGCAGTCTTTCCAATTTTAGTGGTGTAGTTCACAGTAGAGGTCTGTATTCCCACAGGGTCCTTGGCAGCAGAGTGCAGCGCGGGACAAATTTTCATTGTTGAATGCAAGACTGGGGCAGGAAGTAACTGATATGTCTGAGAGAGCAGGACAATAGAAGTGACTAGAAAAAGAATTCAAATGTATTTTTTGTTATCATATCAAACTGTTATTCATATTCGTGAGTGAACGGAAAAATACGCTGCCTTGCCTAATTTGGTTTTTACACAGCCGGTCTCTCCTGGAACTTTATGAAGGACGATAGCATTTAGCAAGTTCCTCATCACTCTCGTGAGCGCCCAGCTAATGGTAGCAGAGCAGCACGGAAATATTTAGCGCCTGAAGATGTAAGTGTCTGCTTAAGGAAAGGTGAATACAAAACTGTCAAACTAAGTAAGGGGAAATTAGATATTTGGCAGTCCTTTTCCATTTTAACCACAATGGGAACTTTTTGCCCATTGAGGCAAATATAACAAAGTGCTATCAGATACTGGGCACAAGTTTGGCAATTTGGCAATTTGGCAGGTATGAGCGTAAAGGTTGTGCACGCCAACCAGTGTGTCCGTGTCTGCTGTCGACTGCTGTCACTCTATTTGCATTTGACACCTACACCAATTTATTCTGCGTTGTGTTCTTTTTTTTCCTTCTTCTCTTCACTGCCGGCTGATGAGTAAGGATGAGGCACCACTGTAGCTGATTGCCGGAGTTCATTTCTCTTTCATCAATGACCAAAAAAAAACTGAAATTAATATACACGTTTTCTTTAGTTTGTGCAACACTATATGGACAAAAGTATGGGGACACACCAATTAATCATTGAATTCAGGTGGTATAAAATGAAGCACCAAGCCATTCAGTCAGGTTTACAAACATTTGTGAAGGAATGCGTTGCTTTAAAGAGGTCAGTGAATTCAGGCGTGATATTGCACGCCACCTTTGCAATAAATCAGTTTGTGATGTTTCTTCCCTGCTAGATATTCCACGGGCAACTGTTAGCGATATTATTGCAAAGTCGAAGCCTTTAGAAACAACAGAAACGCAGCCACAATGTGGCCGACCACGTAAAGTAACGGAGCGGGGTCGCCGAGTGCTGAGGCATAAAGTGCATAAAACTCGACAGTGCTCTGTTGACTCAATAACTGCAGAGTTACAAACGTCTTCTGGCATTAACTCCAGCTTCATGGAATGGGCTTCTGTGGCTGAGCAGCCGCATGCCAGTCGTCAGATGCAGTGGTGTAAAGCAAGCCACCACTGGACTCTGGGGCAGTGGAAATGTGTTCTGTGGAGTGACGAATCACACGTCTCTGTCTGGCAGTCTGATGGATGAGTCTGGGTTTGCCGGAGAATGTTACCTGCCCGACTGCCTTGTGTCAACAGTGCCAAGTTTGGCAGAGGATGGATAATGGTATGCCGTTGTTTTTCAGGGGTTGTGCTGGGCACTTTGTTCCAGTGAAGGGAACTCTTAACGTTTCAGCATACCAAGACATTTTGGACAAGTGTATGCTTCCAACATTGTGGGAACAGTTTGGGGAAGACCCTTTATGTCCCAGGATGGCTGTGCCCCAGTGCACAAAGCAAGGATCCATAGAAACATGGTTTTGTGAGTTTGATGTGGAAGAACTTGACTGGTCCACACAGAGTCCTGACCTCAACCCCATCAAACACCTTTGGGATGAATGGAAATTGTGAGCCAGGCCTTCACATCCAACATCAGTGCCTGACCTCACAAATGCTCTTCTGGATGAATGGGCAAAAATTCCCACAGACACACCCCAAAATCTTGCGGAAAGCCTCCCCAGAAGAGTGGCAGCTGTTATAACTGCAATGGGGGACCGGCTCCATATTGATGCCTGTGGATTTAAAATGGGATGTTATAAAAAAGCTCCTGTGGATGTAACTGCCTGCTGTCCCAGATCATTTGTCCATATAGTGTATATAGTCTTCCTGCTACCTGTCAATGGCTCTCTGTCAGCTGAGAAAAGCACATATATGACATAAAAACCACAGAAAAGCCTTAACCAGAAGCACATATACTGTAAACTCATAGTCACACACTCAGAATAATAATTTATCGACACTATACAAATTTTATGTACTTTATAACAACAAAAAATAAATTTTCGACACAACCGTCGAAACATGACTTACCAGCTGTCAACCTGCCACGTGATTGACAGCCTTGTTGCCATGACAAATATCTAACAAAACCATATTAACCTTAATAACATTCACAGTTTTACAAGACATTTTCTTCTGTACCAATCAGGATTTGGTAGTTATGAGAACCATTTGACAATGGCTGCGTGTGCTAATCAAAAGTAACAACTGCATTAAAAAATGAAACAACACAAAAAGGTGTGGATTGTATTTGTGCATACATACAACCTGTTACTGCAAACATTGTTGCAGGTGAAATATGCTTATCTGTATTGCTAGACTACTATTATGTGAAAAATGTAGCCTTGTTTAACTGTTAAACGTAGAATGTAGCCTGTTTGTTGAGGCTTCATGTTTGTCTTTATTCTTAACGTAAAAATAAGCATAATCGTAAATCAAAACATATTTTTCCTTTGCGGGTGGTAGTGAGACATTAAGGGCAAGATTGGGACAAAATATGAGAAGCTTTAGCGTGAGCCACACAGAATCTTGCAGGTATGGGACTTAAAATTCTGTCCTGCGCAGACCTAGTTTACAGTACACAGCATTTGTCTATTGCTTGAACTTAAACTGCAAAAAGTACTGCAACACCACCAACATCTTTTTGCGTTATACACAATATCTACTTTTTTTAATCATGATTTTGCCAAAACAGTAACATGTGGCATGTTCCACTAACTCAGTGAACACTGCTGTGTTTGTTGGGCATAGGTTGTTTGGCCTTGAAAGACTTCCATATGATTGGTTGGAATTGCATTCATTTCTGTGATGTGCTATCAAGTGAAGTTCGTTAATGACAGTTTATCAAAGTTTCTGTATTTATTTATTTATCATCGTTTATATTACGATAAGTCGATATATTGTTTATATCGCCCAGCCTTAGTATACAGTTCATCTTTTGGTGTCCTTGTGGCATTATACAGTATTATAATTAAAGAATTGTATGCTTTTACAGCACAGGACTTACATAGTTGCGATGTACTGGCATCCTGCGCAGGGTGTACATTTTTCAATTGTGCCGTTGTCCTTACCTTGACGCAGGATATTTATCTGTTCTGTATGATTCTGAATGGGTGTTTTTTGTGGTTTAAATGGGTGCGATACTGTTTCGCTAAAACAGGTTAATCTTCAGGAAAGTTGCTGAAAGTTGGAGTTGAAAACCAGGTATTTTGTTATAGGTAGTTTTCTTCAAAAAAGAGTTTAAAATGAATCCATGTCGTTGATATGTCTTCTTTATGCAAAAAAAAATTATCTGTTCTGTATGATTCTGAATGGGTGTTTTTTGTGGTTTAAATGGGTACGATACTGTTCCGCTAAAACAGGTTAATCTTCAGGAAAGTTGCTGAAAGTTGGAGTTGAAAACCAGGTATTTTGTTATAGGTAGTTTTCTTCAAAAAAGAGTTTAAAATTAATCCATGTCTTTGATATGTCTTCTGTATGCAAAAAAAATAATAAAAATACACATGCAGTGAATGCTGAAATGCCTAGGAAATCCTGCTGAAGGTTTTAAAATACTGATCCCAGCAACATGCCTGATGAATTATTTCCTTATTAAAATTTTTGTGGGTATAGTCCATTCTTCCAAACATATTCTAAAGGCAAAAGCAGACCGACGTTTTGAAAAGTTTGCATTTATTGAACAAAAAAAAAAAACATATTTTAAGAAGAATTTTGCATTTGAATTTCTATACTTTATTTTATACAAAATAAAGCTGCCCAAAATAACACCCCAGCTTTCAGTCCAGACTTTCCATGCTGCTGGTGAATGCAGCTTAGGAAAATGTACGTGGTCCAAATTCTAAACATGGATATCTACAGTTAATGTTTATAAGGACTGAACTGCAAATTGGTACTCCATGTGCATTGTATAGCATCCCCAGTAATTATTTTAATGGTAGGACCAAAATTAGACCAGATTTCTATAGACAGTAAAATAAAACATGAGATATGTAAAAAGAATTCACCAAATCAACCCACAGAAGAGTAATGTGAACCCAAAACTCTGTTTAGCACAGTTAGTAATGTGTTTGCTGACCCTATTGTGTCTGTAATAGGCTTGGGCGGTATCTTTTTTTTTCATATCGTCATACCTTCTAACCATTCCACCCCAGTACACGGTCTGTGACAGTATTATCACTTTTTTTTTTAAGAAGGAAATCATGTAGGCTACTGTAAACTCTGGAATCACAGATAGTCTAAACGGGCTCGTCAGTGTGGAAGCTGGGGGCTGGGGGCTGGGGAAATGAGGAGACAATGATCAGCCTTTGCTTATTAACACCACAGTCACTGCCCCATCCGCAGCCACGTGCGCACTAGGTTTCACGTATGTTGCGCATGCTGCAACAGTTCACAGCGCATTCACTGCGCATTTTTTTTTTGTGGCAATACCCTACACATGCCGGTAAATCTTTGATTTATTTTTTTTTAATCTTAAGTAAAGTTCCAATCATTGCTAACACTGCAGTATAATATATTGCCTCGATCCAGCATCTCAGTATCAGCTTCTAAGAAAGAGGACCGTCTATATTTTTTACGGTATTAAAAATAAGCCTAATCGCTAATCATTTTGGATGGAGGCTCCTGCAGGATTCAGTGCATATTTTGCAGAACATTGCTGCACTGTTGTTCTTTAGACACTAGTGTTGCTTTTACCTGAAAACAGCTGGTACTGTAGATATTCCAGGGTTGCTGTTGCAAAGTTTTCTGGAAGGGACACAGGAGAAGCATCTCCTGTCCTCCAGTGCCCGTCAGGTAATCCTGGCCGCTCTGTTCATTTCCCTCCCCCGCATACTTATGGACAGTCAACGGCGGCTGGTCCACGTGGACAGGGTGGGCCGCTTGCAGCACCACCTGTGGCCGGGGTTGGCAGAAGAGGAGCCGAAGCTGCACCAACCCCACCCCCCTGAACGGAGGGACCTCCTGCGAGGGGCAGAATGTCCAGAAAACCAGCTGCACTGCTCTATGCCCAGGTAACCAGCAGGCATTCAGTCATGCCCCTAATGGCACCGTTAGTCTGAATAACTGCGGGGGCAAAGGAATTCTTATTCTGTACCAAAGACAAGATACAAGGGAGGAGAAATTGCTGTGGAGACCATATGTGCAGAGCAGGAACAAACCGTTAACTTGAAAACACATTTCCCTTGATTTTGTAATGATCCTCTCCTACAGAAATGATTACATTTTTAGTAAATAAAAGCCTTGGGCAATGCTAATGATATGTCAAGCTAAGTCAGGGTCTCCAACTCCGGTCCTGGAGAGCTACTATCCAGTTGGTTTTCTATCCTACCGGGCTTCTGATGAGCCACACACAGGTGGACGATAGCTTTCCAGCACTGGATTTGGAGACCCCTGAGTTAATTGTTTTTTGTTAGATGACTTCCATAACTGGTACCAGGCCCTGTTTGAAGAAGACGAATGTCACTTGTGGATGTGATAATTTAAATGAATCTGCATCCTCTAAACATCATAAATTGTGAAGCGACTGATATTAGCTTTTCTGCTGTCTGATGGACATAACTGGAACTTCCTGAAAAGCATGGAACTGAAAATGTTTAGTCAAGCAAAAGCTTTGCTGACCAGTAGGTAAGAATGTTCAGTAAACAGGCAAGGAAATTGAAACCTTTGTTGGTCTTAGTCCCAAGTGAGAAGATTTATCCACTTAAGCCCATCTCTGCTTTCATTACAGAAGTGATAGAGCACATCTAAGACAGGTTCAGCCTGTGTAATTTAATAAGAACCTGACCTAATATCACTCTTTAAGTAAAAAGACTCAAAATTACAATGCTTGGTGAATAAAAATAACAGAATTTGAAGATACTACCACTGGGATTTCTTGCATGGATAGATTTTGGAGGATTAGGGCAAGATTTTCACACATTGCAGTGGCTATTAGGTGTAAATTTAATGGTACATATGGAGAATAGAAGGTCTGGAATACTGGCCGTACCATCCTGTACTGGGAGCAGAATGGCCGTGCCATCCTGTACTGGGAGCAGACTGGTCGTACCATGCTGTACTGGGAACTGACTGGCCGTACCATGCTGTACTGGGAGCTGACTGGCCGTACCATGCTGTACTGGGAGCTGACTGGCCGTACCATGCTGTACTGGGAGCTGACTGGCCGTACCATGCTGTACTGGGAGCAGACAGTGCTACAAGTTTGCACTTTGTGACACATCTGCCCAAATTTGTTTGAGGAAAGGAATCACTGTAATAAGATTCTGCGGCCTTGGCCTCAGCGCCGAATCCGGTTCTTTCTGTGGAATCGGCCAGGTTGTGCACCTAATAAAAAAGCACCTTACTGCTGCTGTTTTTTTGTCAGGGATACTGTTGCCCCCCCCGGGAATCTGACCCTCCCCCCATTTGTCACTGCCCAGAGACACGGTCTGACAGCTGCAGCACCTAAAAATTACCTCCGAGAGTTTCTTCCCAATTTATCAAAACACACTTCCTGCCCTGTGTTGATATAAATCATTATTTACAGACTAGAGGCAGGTTAGTGGGCAGGAATCAGGCTCACAGAATGAATAGGTAGGTGGGGAGGAATGGGGGGAGGAATGGGGGGAGGAATACTCTTCTCCGAGACAGAAAAGCTGTCCTTTGAGAAATTGCTTAACTTTACTTAGATATTGCTTCCATTAGAAATAAATATAAATGCTGACTGTCATGTGGAAGGTGCTGAATGTAAGAAAGATCATCCCCCTTAAACCATTAAATAAACAATTGTTCATAAATATCGCAGGAATCATGCAGTGCAGTTAAGAACCCTATGTTTTGTGAGTTCTGTAAATTAATCAAACATAAATGGATTACTGTTCAGGGTCCCTTTATATAATAGCAGCTTTGTGGACTTGCTTATCCATTGTTCTTGTGTCTTTTTTTCCTCATCACTTGTATTGCAGTTTAAACATAAACACAGTAGGTGTCCTTGTTCATTGAAATTGGCCATAGACTGAAATGGGGTTGCAGTCTTTGGAAAGTGGTACATTGCTATCAGCTTTTTGACTTTTTAAATATGCAGCGCTGTTCCATATCATCAGCACTGCAGTGATACTCCTCCACTTTTATTTGTGTTTGTAAAAATGGTTTCAGCAATTTTGACTGGAAAGAGGCATTGGAGAAATGCCAGCTTTTCTCTAGTGTTTTCTCTAATTTACACTTTTAGATGCCTGTTACAGTGTGCAATGATCCGTAACAGTTTTCTTCTATACTGTTGTCTGAATAACGATAAACTATCATATTTTTGACACATGATTTAATTGGATGAAAAGGCCATGTTCTGAAATAAATAGCTGGTTTTGGACTCTGAACGTGATTTATAGTCAAATATTGAATTAAAGTTTACATATGTGTGTTTGTATTTGTGTGTATATACGCCCATATACATGCACATCTATCATAGGAAGAAAGGGATTGCTGCATTGTCAATTAAAGGTTTGTTTCATTCAAATAAATCTCTTTATATATTTTTTGTTTCTTACACAGCCAGGTTTTACATTTTTAAGTTGGTACATTGTTGTATTATCTTATCTAGAGCTTTATGTTGAAGAAACCTTTTTAACAGGTTTTATTTTTAAATTAGATCCTATGAAAACTCATTATATCAGAGAATCAGTAAAGAATCAGAAACAGCAGAGATTTAACATTTACTTGATTGATTATGATGGATCACGTTCATTTGGAATCTTGTCCAGGGTGAACCTCAACATTGTGGCCTATGTTACCTGAGATGAGTTTTAAGAATTGTTTATTAAATATTTCTAATACTTTGAATACTGATAATATAGTATTTTAAGGATGCCACTTTACAATAAGGCTACCCATATAAAGAGTGTATAAACAGTGGTGTATAATCTGGTTATTAATTAGGTTGTAAATTATTAATAGACAATTTAAACAAGTTCTAACACAGTTTTCTTTTAATTAATGAGTTACTGCCATTTACAAGTGGCACAATGGAGCCTTATTGTAAAGTGGGACCATTTTAAATATTGGCCAACAATATTTTCAATATATGCCAATATGGCCAAGACTGACATTGGGCTGATGCCAATACTCTGATTTTGAATATATATCAGTCGTTAACTAATGTATCTCATATCTCTACATGCTGTTTGTTCCATATACATAACGACATCAACAAGAACAAGAATGACAACAACAACAACAATAATAATAATAATAATAATAATAATAATAAGGAGAGGAATCCTGAGAGAAAATCACTATCTATATTCTAAGTGGAAAATAGTCAGGATTCATATTTCAACCAAAATCATGCAGCCCCAGTAAATATTGTATTATGGTGAAAAAAGATCAGTTTATTGTCCATAAAAATGCATTGATCAAGCTGACTAGGTAGCTAATTACCAGTCTGATCCTGCCACCTCACATGTATGCCAGCTGTCTTTTCAGGTCATGGTGAGGATTAGATGGCGAGGCGGGCACCATTACACTTGGCAAGACCCACGAAAGCACAATTAGCTTTGTGTTAAACTTTGTATCTCAGCAACTCAAGGACCCTGTGTGTCTTTATGCAGATGTACAAATTTGTCCTGCATGCATGTGTATGTTTGCAGGCAGTACATATCCTCTTTGTTTATGTTTACAGACTTTTCTGCAGAAAACTGAGTATCATGTCACTGTTTATCCTGTAGCGTAAAATTTAAAGATCAGGGGCACAAGCTAATTTAGAGGACAGTTGTTTCCCAGTTCCTAAAAAAGATGTATTGCTGTTATAATGGGACCCAGCTGGGAAAAACAAGGGAGTCGAGCCGACGACGACCAACAGAGGCTCAGGCCTGGCTTTGGAGTTTGTTAGTCCTGCCATGGAGGTAATTATGTTCCTGCAGCCCATCTGTTTGCTAGACTTTGCCTTGATGGATGTAGGAGTTTATCGTGCTTGTTTCATCCCTCCTGTCCTGAGCAGGTGGGGGTGGGGGGGGGACAACTATTCATCTGTTTGCCTGAGCTGATCAAAGGGATGTTCTCACTGTAATCTTGTGGCTCACAATACATAAAGTGCTGTCCTGGTGGGCTAACTGGTGAGACTAAAGCCTTACCCATTATCTGGGAAAGGGGGATAATCCAGCTGCGTTGACTCGTTGGGCAAAAATAGTAGAGGACAACAAGGCCACCACCAGGCAATGTTTACAAACATTGATGGGTTAAATTAAGAAGAATGATGACCTTGGGTTGTGTTACAATGTGAATGGCTGGAATATAGGTAAGTGGGGATCTGTATAAGGTGTCAAAGGTTTAACACTAATATACAAAAAGATGGGAGACTTTAAATCTGTGTCTTTGGCACTTTTACAATGTTCCATGTCCTAAGTCATGGACCATGATAGAACTTGTTCTACTCCATAAAGTATGCACGATTAGGGCACCTTTTATCCAACCGTCCTCATTCAGTTGGCTCCTAGTTAATAGCTTTTATGGGACCCCTGTTGATTGTATGTTGAAATTAATTGCTGAAAGCTAGAGGTTAGTCTCTGCTGAGCTCTTAAACTCCGTGTGGATGGAGACGCATCCAGCATGTTGAGAGAAATGAGAATGCAGTGTAGTAATGGTGCCGTGCATGGGAGAAGCAACTTGTAGGGTGTCACAGAATATAAATCAGCACGAAAAATGCAGGAAGCTTTCTTAAAAATGACATCAAGTGAAAGTGAGGTTATGCAGGTACATAATTATAAAGAAATGTCCATCAAAGGGATTCACAGGACAGATTCTCTAGACTTGATTCTCTGCTTATAGATTCCGTCTCCTTGGCGATCACCACATGCAGCCATTCTGGAGTAGAAACTATAGCTCAGAATATCATACCCCTAGGACCTGGATTTCCTTTAATCTGTCCTCCTTAGGAGAGACTCCACATATACAATAATTCAGCCCTAAGTAAATATCATCAAAACAGATTAACTGCATTCAGACAGCGCCCCCAGCAGCACGGCATGGCTCCCACACCTTG